TAGTAGCCGCATTAAAGAAAGACAAAGAGGGGCGCTTGGGTGGCTCAGTCAGTTAAGCCATGTTTTAATGTTTTAATGTTTATTTTTGAGAGAGAGAGAGAGACCGGGGGAGGGGCAGAGAGAGAGGGAGACACAGAATCCGAAGCAGGCTCCAGGCTCCGAGCTGTCGGCACAGAGCCCGACGCGGGGCTCGAACCCACGAACCGTGAGATGGTGACCTAAGCTGAAGTCGGACGCCCAACCGACTGAGCCACTCGGGTGCCCCCTAAAAATCCAGACTTTTGGTCCAACTCTTGATCTCAGCTCAGGTCTCGATCTGAGGGTCGTAAGCTCAAGCCCCACATTAGGCTCTGCACGGGCATGAAGCCTACGTAAATAAATAAAAGTTAAACTAACAAAAGAAACCAGTGTAGTTAATTTTAATATATTTTATTAACTTAATATGTCAAAAATATTTAGATTTCAACATTTAATCAAAATCAACAATTATCAATGAGATATCTCATATTCCTTTTCTCACATTAAGTCTTAAAATCCAGCGTGTGAACACTTACGGCCCATCTCAGTTTGGGTGCTAATTTTCACTGGAAATTCTGGATCTCTGTATTTAAAGTTGACGGGGAAAAACAGATCCACAGGCCCCAGGGATTCCCAGCATGCTTAAAACTTTTCCAATAACTGAATCAAATGTCAGCCTTTCCCATTTCCATTTAAATTACTTACACTTTAAAATGAAAAATTCAGTTCTGGGGGCACCTGGGTGGCCGAATCGGTTAAACATCTGACTCTTGGTCTCGGCTCAGGTCATGATCTCACAGTTCATGAGTTCGAGCCCTATGTTGGGCTCTGTGCTGACAGTGTGGAGCCTGCCTGGCATTCTCTCTTTCCTTCTCCCTCCCCTCTCCTGTGCTCTCTCTCTCTCTCTCTCAAAATAAACATTAAAAAAAATCAGTTCTGTAGTTGCACTGGCTACATATCAAATGTTCATACCCCCAGCCCCCTCCGGCTAGTAGCTGTCATATTGAATGATGCAGACATAGAATATGTCTATCGTAGCAAATTTACTGGACAAAGAAGGTCCAGAGCAGTGCCTGGCACAGAGTAGATCAATAAATGTCAAACAAAGAATCTTCTTTTTTTAAAAATAATTTTTTAAATGTTTATTTATTTCTGAGAGAGAGTGAGACAGAGTGTGAGCAAGGGAGGGGCAGAGAGAGAGAGAGAGAGAGAGGGAGACACAGAATCCGAATGAAACAGGCTCCAGGCTCTGAGCTGTCAGCACAGAGCCCGATGCGGGGCTTGAACCCACAAACCGTGAGATCGTGACCTGAACCGAAGTTGGATGCTCAAGCGACTGAGCCACCCAGGCGCCCCAAAGAACCTTCTTGAGTATCTGCTCCTCTGGACTGGGGCTGATAATCATTCCTGGGGCCCACTACCAGATTCAATAACCGTGTCTACGATTTTCTGTTCCTCACCCCAAACAAACACTATAAACATTCCAGCTAAAACGTGCCCTGTAGAGCTCAGTGGAACAATCCAGATGCACTATATGCTTCGTTTTGTTTTGTTTTGAATTCTGGTGATGAAAAAGCGTGCCGATCTGGTGCCTCTTTCGTTTCCAACAGAATCTGACGCACACTCGGGGAGAAAACGAAAGTCAGCAAGTTCTTTCTGGATCAGAATTCCACCTCGGCCATCTGACTCGCTCGTTTCATTTTAAATAAAAGACAGCGTCTGACTGGGCTGGGATTAGGCTGAGGCCAGAGATGTGGCCTGGGCAAAGTTGAATCCCGTCTTCATTTAAAAGTCTGGATTTTTGGGGGGCACCCGAGTGGCTCAGTCGGTTGAGCGTCCGACTTCAGCTCAGGTCACCATCTCACGGTTCATGGGTTCGAGCCCCGCCTCGGGCTCTGTGCC